CGTCAAACTGTCAATAATAAGGCATTCTCCAGAGTAAATGAATTTGTCGATGATTTTCAGTGAATGCTGTAAAAGAACGAGAGAAGGAAACGCACTCGGTCATCCCTATACCATGATCTCACACATGGAAAGCGTAAAGGTTAACCCAAATCTTGAGGTGAACATCTTCAGTACCTGTTAATTGGCCTAGGAGGACTCACGAATTGCAGAGATGTCATCAGAGTACGTCAACTCCCGAAGGCGGTCACCCGGGAACAGTTCGATGCTGCAGGGCTCAGAGTATTCCGGAGCAATATCCAGGATCTCGTCCATGACGAATTTTACCAAGAATGAGGAGGCTGGGTAAACCTGACTAATGCCACCAGTGATATAAAAGGGGCTGAATAGTCTCTAAATACTCGCACGCGGTCTGAAGTTAGCTAGTAAATGGTAAGGAGAATACTTATGTATCTCTCATGTACTCCCTCTATAGTAAGCAGTACCAAAGACTCACTCTGTCAACCTTGATAACTATGTTTGGTTGACAGTGCATAGTGGTGTTTACTTAGTTGGCAGGTAGTAAAAATGTGATCGATGCAGCTGCTACCAGGGAGAAACTTAACCTGCTCCTCAAGTTGGCGCTGTTCTCCTACGCAACTTAGACTCCGCATGTGTGAGACAGACATCAATTTGTACGCAACAAAGATGTGGCTGATCTCTAGATGAGCAGAGCAAACGATTTGGTCTCCTTTTTTTAGACACGTAGGACATCTGCTACTTTCCAGTCGGATAGAATATTTTCGGTAGTCCACATCTGAAAAAAAGAAGGATTTCAGCTCACAGATGAGAGCAGGACCCCATCTTGGAAGAGGACCGGAGGAAGTTCATCTGGGTCAGGTGACTTGTGGCGCTTTAGCAGGCAAAGCCTTTAGGAAACCTCAGCCTCAGTGAAGAAACAGCCACACATTAGGGAGCACTGTGAATACCGAATGCTAGTGATTAGTTGAACTGATCATCAAGGTGCTCTGCCCAGCGTACCATATGACGGTGATAACTGCGGATTAGTTCGCTGCCATTTCCACGCTAAACATCACCCATTGTCGTTCTTCGTCTCCCATTGATAACATCAGCTAGAAAATTAGTGGGAGTTTTCTGTGGTTGCCGCTCGCTCCCCCACAAGTGTGCAGTGGGTTTACCAGACCCTGCATTCCTTACTGAGTAGCTGTCTGAGCACCTGTACAAGCACGTGAACAGTTTCTGGAAAGTGAAGCGTGGTGTTACCCCACTCAGCTCAACAGATGAATGTAGTCAAAGCCTCGCGGATCGAGCTAACGCTCTACGGCTACAATATGCTTTAGTATTCTGAAGAGCCACCAGTATATGTCACATATCGCTCTTACTTCCCCGGGCGTCAGCATTTACCCACGTCACAATTAGTTCAGCGAGTGTTTGAGGAAGCTGCCATTGTTGTACACTCGTAGTTACTCGGATTTGATAACATTTCGCATTAAGCCATGCAGGTGGTTGCTGCGAGTATGGCCCGGCCGTCAGCCCGATTTCTTCAAAGGTGTTTGGATGAACAACAGGTTCCTATCAAGTGAAAGTAGGATATAATTACCCATGTAGTCAAAGATAGTAACAGTTTGTGGGCTCGTCGACACTCGCCCCGTGATTCGTCTTCCAGTGCCCTCAAAGTTAGGCAGTTGACAATTACCAAGGCTCTAGAAGGCTAGTTGAAACAATTTAACATGGTAACGTCTGAGGAACACGAAGTCCATCAGCATCGGTCCTGTACTACCAACCGACAGATTGCTCGAAGCAATTTGATAGAAACGAAATATAGTAAGACCGAAAACTGTCATAGTGCCCTCCGAGAATCAAGAATAAAATCTGGGCAGCGATCAAAAGTCGCTATTAAGAATACTTGTGCTTATTTTAGAGTACATACAGTATTTCGATGTTGTCCGTTAACTGGCTGGCCCTGGTTATCTGGCCTGCAACCTCGGCTACCTTGGGCCGATCCATGGTTACCGAGATCATGGTTTCACGGGTTCTCACTGTTGCTACCGCGGATGGACTACGCAGTGGCGTCTGATTGTCCCTATGCACATTTAGTCGATGCTCCCACGATTGGCTATTTGACACAGCTGTCTGGGTTGATACCTGATATCAGGCATATGCCATCCACTTGCCTTGCAGCCGACAAGTCCTCTTCTCCGTTTTTCGACTGTGTGCTGTTTCTCCACTGCAATGGACTGGGTTGGTTCCGCATGATCATTTCTCACGAGTAGCTTCTGACTGGTCACTCGTCTATTCTGCGGATGCAACCTCGGTTGACCATCTTCCACAGCTGCGCGCGGTGCTCCAATGGTCTCAGGCGTATGCCATCCACTCGCGGTACGGCCAACCAGTCTGTTTCTCTGCGTTCCGAAGGCGCGCTAATTTTCCAGTGCTCCGGGTCAGACCGATGATACGTGCTCGGCTTTCATCAGATTGGTCCCAAGTCCATCGGTACTGCATCGATCCCATACGCCCCCGGTCTCAGTCACTATCACAGAAACAATGTCATATATCTCAAGTTTGGTAAAGCCTCTGAGCGCTTAGTTCACCGCATCCTTCTTCATAAGTCGCAGAACCGTTGTATTGGAAACCAAACGCTTGAATGGATGGGAAACCTACTTCTTCGATGGAGGGTGAAGGTGTGGGTTCGGGACTAGTTATCCAAACCGTTTTCGATTGAAGGCGGGGTTTTTCACCATTGTCACTACTGAGGCCGCACTTATTGTCATTCTTCGTCAATAATCTTGCGCTTGTGATGGAGTGGAATTTCTTGCTTTTTTGCGAGTCTATCAAGATATAGCGAGTTATAAGTAACCGAGAAGTTTACGATATGCTACAACGAGACCTAGACCGCGCTTGTAAATGGTCAAAGGAAAGTTTACTTCGTTCAAAGTGGACAGGTGTCCACTAGCCTAATGAAAATTTAAAGAGTGTAGACCACATTTTCAAAGATGCCTCACTGGAGGGTGACCATGAAGTAGTGAGACAGGACGACCTAGGCTATTCGGTTCGTATGCGGAGCTTGCGCCACCCTGGCTGTTGTGGGGAGCGATCCATGCTTGTCTTGTGAGATCTGACTGTGTTTCATTGTGCTTTCGAGCGATATTCTTATCTCATCTTGAGAGTCACTGCGAAGCGAAGAAACTCCTTACTGAAAGTGATATGCAGTGTAGTGGAACTACGTTTGCTTATGTCGACAGGACCTTTGCTTATGTGTTCAACAATCAGGCGGTGAATGTCTTATTACTTATAAACATTTACCTGTAGCTGTGAAGATAGTTACCTTGGCCGCGATTACCCAAGTTTAGGCGTATAGGTCAGCGAACACACTGCGAAATGGTTTCGTAGCCAAATATGTCATGTGACTATGGAATCTGGAGAATCGGGAAACCGAGACGCCTCAGCCATCACAACACATTTGCTGAGCTCTGGCCACCGAAGCAAACCAGATGAGGCAATTTCCGTCCTGATGCGCAGTCAGGGCCGAACGTCTTGCAGCTACTGGAAGTCATCGGGCTTGACCGAGAACGGCCGCTGGTGTGCGTACAGAGGCAAGTGACTGCAATTCGGAGTCTATCGTGGTAAGGCAAAGCGCAGTGATTGGTCACTAGTTAGCGACCAGTCGATCCCATACGCTTGGCATCCTGAACTCTCTCTCGTTAGTTGCCTGTTTTTGTGGTTATAGATGGCTGTATGAGTGGAGCAGATCGAAATGCTGTAGACAGACAGGAGGCCAATAACTTGCTGCTAATGTTGATTGATCCTTCGTGGAGGGGCCTGAGTAAGGAATCATGGTCTCCTCAGTCTAGAAGGAACAAAGGACTGATTTGTTACGAATAATGATGACTTATTGAAATCTAACCGTGAATCGGCGTATTGGCATCGCATTGGCGGGGCCTTTTGTAATGCTCATTGTGTGATTGTATTACGGCGCGAAATCTCAATTGTGGACCGTTGTGCCAAGTGTTGCCCGTAGTGACCCGGTGGACAACAGGGAAAAGATTTCGGTTAATATACCAATGGTCCCGGGTTCTAGGTCAGCGATCTCCACCTTATGAGATCAAATGAAGTCAAAACGCAATATATAATGCAGCGTTTTCGGGAAACAAACATCTCATTCCTATCTGTAGTAAATACAACCCAACACCTTTTAGGTTTAGGAACAGAAACAGCAATACAAGTTTGGGTAATATCCAAGATTAGGTAAACCCCACCCCGTCCATCTGGGCAGCAGGAACCCACTTGTAAACTTATGGTCGCAAGCATCCCAAGCGAAAAAAGGGCTGTCCAGCTTGGAGCAGAACCTGCATGAAATGTACAATGAAAACAATTTTATTGTTCTTACCGATCGGCTATGGAGATAAGAAAAGTCAGTATGACGTCTGGGGACTCTCAGTAAATGACATGGAACATCATGGAGAACGGAACTGCGTTTTTGCAACACATTTGATCCAATGACGTCCAATTTGCCATCAGCTGAAGTCAGGCGCCACCGTTAACATACAAGCCGGAAAACATTGCACCTAAGTAGAATTCATCGGAACACAGAGTTTTCTCAAAATGGGGGACCGCTTCAGATTATAACCGGAAGGGAACGTTTTCATGAAGGCTATCGACTCTAAGGAAGGGAAGGAACACCACCTTGCGTTCCTAGTTGTGTCAGTAGATCTTATGCTCCCTTGCGGCACTGATTCCACTTAGTGCCTTGGTTTGGTTTCTTTTAACCGTGCACATTCTGTTCACTCATTTCAGGCTGCCGCAGATTTTGTTGATCCTCGTTTAATGGGTTTATTGGGAAATTCGAGCGATGCGCTCATTTGTCTTTGAAGGACTCTGCTAATCCAATAGTTTTGTCAGCTACAGAAGCGCTCATAGCGTTGCGCAAAGTGATGTCGGATGAATCGCAGCGTTTGTTCCGTTTGGGTATCACAGATTCGGCGAGTGCTCATCATCACTAAGAGGTCCGGTGATTTGTATATGTGGATCGACTCGAAAACGCTCAATGCAAGGCTTAGAAGAGAGTAGCACACTCTGTTGACTCCAGAGGATATGCTGCCGATGTGTTAATGCACAAACCAATGGGAGATGGAAAGTTAGTGCCAGGTATTTGCGGCGTTATCTGTTGCATCACATAGTAGCTCGGCGTACTAAACAATATTAGGCTGGTACTTTTTGCGATGTATAATTCTGAAACAAATGAGCGAGCTTGTCCTACACATTGGAATACTCCACGGATTATGATGTACTACACTTGCTCTGCAGTGAGAAAAGCCATATTCCTAGTGCTGGATATACTACTCATAGTCAAGTTTGCTTGTGGAGTAAATAGCCTGCGCAACTCACCGGAGTTATTCATTTTCGAGTGCACCATCAAAACCATACCAACGGTTCGGCAATGGTCGGAATGTTGTTCGCAAACAGTAATCACTAAAGTTATCGATGCCTTTGTCGTCTTTTGCAGTCGTTATTTCTTACCATGGGTTCATGCACATCCGTTGCACTGCAACCAATTCTAATTTACTGATGCGTCTGTATACCTACTCGACATATTTAAATTGAATTTTCGAGGAAAATCGTCAACATGCTACCCGACCGTTTGCTTAGGTAATATTTGCAGACATCCTTGCCATTTTTAGTTCATGCTCTTTGGCTGCGTTCGCAGTGACATTGTGGATGTTGCAAACACTCCCATGGTGTGTCTATCACCTAGATGACCTGAGTTGTTCCATGTTCCGCATGAGCACCGTTTTTTTAAGTGGCCGGAAAATCTTTTCTATCCTTTGGCACATAATGTGCGAAGCTCAGTCGGTTAACGTCAACCGTGCCGATCGGGTGTCTCAGCAACCAACCACACAAATAAACGTGATAAATTGTATAAGCCTCGTGAGTTTTAAGCCGTGTTTTGATTGGTTGAGAGACCCTGTGCTCGGCAGGCTTGCTCTGCTTGTAGGAGTGCCGTCCCGGAGGCGAGTGTTAACACCTTTGCAATACTGATTGTTAGTGTAGAAGCGATGGAAGTTCACTAAAGGACTAATGGCTACACCATTGATTACACTACTGTTTGTGTGATTTTGTGGTATAACTATGCCTCAATCACGCAGTCATTGTATTGATTAATTTAGTCTCATGACCCCGAATTGTGCCCTCTCCATTTCTCTCAGTGATTTGTTTCGCCGTCTCCACTGGTGTCAGCTACATCGGTTTACAAGTATACACGGGCGCGTGGATGCTTTCCGCCACATGGATTGGGGTCGTGAGCACTTGCACAGCTATCTTTTTATTCCTCATGAATCGCAACACCTTGACCCAATGATCGCGCACTTCTAATCGTATTGTTTCGATGCCCTCCAAACTGGCTTATTGATGTTGACGTAAAATTGCTGGCTGGAGACTGGGGTAACGCAATGATTGCACGTGAATAAATGGCCCTTTTAAACCATACCTTTAGTTTTCATACGTTGGTGGCATTTTTGATTGGATAAAATGGTCGGTTAGGTCCAACTCACCAGTCACATTGAACCTGAGCATTCAATGATGATGGTGACAAGTTCTGGACAATAGAGGTGAAACCGACAAAGCGTATTCGGTTTTCGCTATAACAGGGGCGTCCATAGTCAGGACCGTGGGCCAGTTGCGGCCCGCATTATATTTCAACTGGCCCGCGGCCTCGTTATGAAATTGTACATACCATCTTGGATTATTTTTGTACAGACGACATTATTAAAGTACAAAAATTTAGGAACTTCTGAATACCAAATTCAATGGTGTCAGTTGCTGGCGAAAATCAATAAGGCAGTGTTGTTAATTTTTAACCAACTAGAAATAGTCAATCTAGTGCTTTTACTAAACTGGTCCTAAATAAATCAAACAATAAGAAGATGGATTTGATAACTTATATATATATATATATATATATATATATATATATCCAACACTATACTAATTACAATATAATTGGCTGAGTGCCACAACACATAAGAAGAAAAATGGATAGCATGAAATGGAAAACAACTGTTAGGCTAGAAGAGTCTCACATCAAGTGTGCCATTGCGTACGATCCTTGGCCATATCCTCCAGCGTTTGCAACCAGGTGTGTTCGGGGTCCTTTGGTCCCCAACCCGGGAGTCGGAAACGTCCGACAACAGACAGCTTCAACGTTTACGCTTCAACAAATTGGATCCAAGTTCTCCATTGCCCTCCTTTTCGTCGCTTCCAAGCCACGCCTGTGCTCGTAAGTAGGGCTCGTCGTGGTAGCTGCTGGGTATGCATGCAAAGCATATGGCCAAGCCAGCGAAGCCTCCGTCGTGAGATGATGCTATCAATCGATCGGCGGAGTTCATTAGGTCTGAAGACTCGCCGACGAATTTCATCATTACTTATGTAGTGTTTTGAAATAAATGAGAATATCTGTAGCTCGGGGTGTGGATGCGGATTTTGAGCAGTTCTCCGAGCTGGATAATTATTTTGCAGACGTTTCGTTGCCTGACTAGGCAACATCATCAGTGCGGCTTCAGGGGCCTGGTTCGAAGTGGCTCGAAAGCGACTTCAATGTCCAAGTGCTTATTGATCGAGTTCTCTTTTGAATGCCAGGCTTCAATGAATTCACGTGCTTGCCGGCTTTTAGCATTCTCGCGCATCTGGCTTTTCCGCCTCAAAGAACGTTTGCTGCGTTTCGGCTGGTGACTATACCTTTCCCCTAGCTAGAACCATTTTGCGGTGCCTTCAGCTAGCGAGATTGTGCGTTTCGACAATAAACGTCCACCTCGCCTATGTTTCCGACTTTTTTCGACTTTTCCTTGAATCGGGACGAACCTGACATATAGTGAGCGAAGGATTTCGCTATAACTGTTGACCTCGACCGAAAATTTGGTAAGCGGCTTACTAATTTTTCTTTCCAGGTTCGTTCAGTTTTGCGGTACGTTCATCCATTTTCATACGTTTGTGCATATTTCGGGTTTCGATGTCGTTTACTTTGTATCATTTTCTGCTATGGATACGTGTCATCCAGTTCTCAACAGCCAGCTTAAAAATGTAATCATTGCCACTCCGCCCTTTTGCAAAAACAATCCAAAATATTGGTTTGCTCAGTTGGAGGCACTTTTCATACTTTGTGACATTAGATCTGGAAAAAACCAAATATCTCCACGTCTTCCCTGCGCTTCCTCCGCATGTCGCCGATGATATCGACGATCTCCACGAATTGCCAGCAGAGAGGAAAACTTATGAGGAAATTAAAGCAGTGGTTCTCAAAAGGACAGGTCTTTCAGATCGTCAACGTATCACGAAGCTTCTGAACGAAACGGAGTTGGGTGACCTCAAGCCGTCGCAGCTATTGGAAAGACGTGAAGTTTAGTCAAATTCGACATAGTGGACAACACATTTCTCAAGGATATGTGGCTGCATAGATTGCTACGTGAAATGTGTAATATCCTCTACGTAAATACTGGCACATCCCTAACGCTGACGACTGATAAGGCAGACCAAATTTTGGAATCCTACGACCAGATTTCGTAAGTTCCCTCTTCGCCGAAAGACGATCTTGTCGAGATGAAAGCGCAGATTGCCACACTCACCAAGCAGCTTACCGAGTTCACAACTTCTGGGAGTAGCTGCCGATGTCGATCTTCAAATCGTCAACGTCCATCTCGATCAAAATCGCCGTCAAAATCACCGCGCCGAATATCTTCCTACTACTGGTACCATCAGCGATTTGGCCCGCGCACCGTGTTCCTTCAAAAGCAACTCGCAGGAAAATGGGCCGACCAGCACTTTGGGGCGACGGACGTAGATGGTCAATACAATCGCCTATTCTTCGTCATTGACTGACAAACGGGAATTCGCTATCTCATCGACACTGGCGCAGAAGTCAGCCTCCTTCCACGTTATCCCAACGACGCAAGCAGAAAGGTGTCTGGTTTTCTACACGCAGCCAACGGCACTAGCTTCCGCGTCTACGGTCAGTGCTCGCGTATGCTTAACCTCGGCCTGCGAAGCTCTTTTCGATGGGTATTTCTTGTCGCTGATGTCCAACATCTTATTATCGGAACGGATTTTCTTCAGCACTTCGACTTGTTCGTCGATGCTAAACGACATCGCCTCATCGATCGGACAACAAAACTTTCGGTCGCTGGAATATTCAGCGATGTAGCATCGCTCAGTCCGGTGTACGTCACTGCCTACTCGCTGGCAGGGAAAACGCTATTTGAGAGTTTCGCTGAAATCTTCCGACTTTCATCGTCTCTGTCAGCTGCAGCCGCAGCTACGCCGCATCACATAGTTACCAAGGGTCCGCCCGTCTCCGCAAAACCCCAAAGACTGATTCCTGACAAGCTCAAAACCGCCCCTGCGGAATTCGAGCAGATGCTGGAACTTGGGATCGTCCGACCATCCAGCAGCTCTTGGTCTGCGCCCTTTCACATAGTCCCGAAAATGTCAGGAGCCTGGCGACCAAGTAGCGATTACCGCGCCCGCAACAGCGTGACAATTCCGGTTCGTTATCTTATCCCTCACATACAGGATATTACAGCCGGTCTTCATGTTGCTCCCGTGTTCTCAAAATCGATCTGGTGCGAGCTTATTATAAGATCCCGGTCACCGACCAGGACATACTACAAACCGCCGTTAGTACACCATCTGGACTATTCGAATTTCTACGAATGCCATTCGGTCTGCGCAACGTCGCATTTGTTAATGTCAAGTCTATGTTGTGTTCTGAACTATTGCCAAAGCTTTTCAATCCGGAGCTGGAGATCATAGTTGCTGCTATCGCATCAGACTACGGAATTGGAGCAGTCGTATCCCACATTTTCCCCAGTAGTTCGGAGAAAGCTGTGGCACATGCAGGCAGGTCACTCCGGGGCTAGTCCGGGACTGGTCTGTGAGAGCGGGCCGAAACAGGTGGACCCTTAGTGCAAATGTGATGCATGACGTTTGAGGTCACAAGAGGCAAGTCATTCGGAACACGAACGAGTTTAGGATGCTTGTTGAAAAGTTCTATAAAAGGCTGTGAAGCTTGAGGTAGGACACAAATGGGAGTGATAGCAGCCCGGTTGGCACTAGTCCCGATAACCTTGAGCTGTGTCTTAGAGTCAATTAGCTTCTTCCTTTTGGCATCGACGATAAGGTCGAAGCGTTGAAGAAAGTCTATGCCTAGGATGGCGAAAGCCACGGCCGCAACTATGAAAGGTCAGCGAAAGTTTCGCCGGGGGCCTAAATTGAGCGTTAGCAACCTTTCGCCGAAGGTTGCGATTGGTGTGCCATTGGCGGCACGCAGCTTGGTCGGCGAGGGTGAGACGACCTCATCTGAGCTACGGGGTGTAACGTTAACTTCGGCTCCAGTGTCGACTAGGAACTTGGTGTCGGAAATTAAATCCCTAACGCGGATGAGGCGAATTTGGTGTTGGCCGGTCGCGTCCGTCGCCGTTACGGACCGGCCGAGAAGTTTCCCTGCTTCTCGGCAAAGTGGCAAGGCTTTACACATTTATGAGCAGCGGTACCAAAGCGCTGATGGTACCAACAGCTAGCCTGCCTGTTGCTAGACTTAGAACGTTTGAAGGGCGATTTCGATCGGCTATGATGACGACGGTTCTTAGTAAGCTGTTGAACCTGGCGACTAAGTGTCGCAACTTGTGTTTGCAGGGCTTCTTTAATTGACTGTAAGCCAGTGATAGAAGTGTCCTGGGACGCGACGACATTGATCTTGCTGGCGTCTGCTTGTGACTGTGATCACTCAATAACTCGATCCACTAAATCTGCTAGTTGAGTGAGCGAAACGGAGTTCACTGTAGCGAGAATCGCTTGCGTGTTTTCCGGTAGCCGCTGTAGCCATGGTTCGCGGAGTAACGTCTCGTCCATGGTTGAGGAACCAGGGCATTGCTGCATCTCCCGTAGCAGAGCTGACGGCAGTTTGTCGCCCAGTTGCAGATCCCAGAAAAGCTGGTGCAGGCGAACTTTCTCAGAGGGTATAACGCGCTTAATCGTGGCCTGTCCCATGGAGGCCACAGTGACAAGCAAATTCTGAACCGGATGCCGCCAACTATGGGATGCACCATTTCAATATGCTAAATTCGTCTGACAGCTGAGAGAATTTTAGAATTCTTTCGTAGTACCACTAAGTAGTTCGATTAATCTGGTAGCGACAGTATTATACGGCGCTGTTTTTGAGGTCTGTAATGCGACCGGATGTTCTGAAGGGATTTTTGCTTCAAGATCGAAACGTAGCCACAATAATAACTTACAAAAACTAAGTGGAAGTAAAACATTAAATCCTGAACTCCCAGTCGTTTCCAAGCATATTCCGAGATGTCGTAAAACAAAGTTTTTCATGGTAATAGTATAACATAAATTCCAGTTGCTTGCTGGAGCAACGTGTGGCAAATATTGTGTTTACTTTTGTCCACACTTCGAACGGCGACCAATACCGAGGCTTAGTTGG